CAGCAGGTTTATGGTGGAATGTGTATTTAATAGTTTTTGTTTTGTGTGGGAGTTGAATTTTATTTTTTTTTTCATTAAAAATAACTTGTCAGTTCAGAGAGCAAGGTGGTTCCACCCCTCTTCATGAGAATACTTCTGGCTTTATATTCAGCTTGTCTGGATTTTATTTGACTTCTGTCCTGTTTTTGTCTTTGTCTGAACATTCCTTCTAGTAATGTGTCGTTTTTTGAAACTTTAAGAATTTTAATCTTTACTATTGTTGTGTAGATTGCTGCTTCTGCACATGTCATCCTTTCATGTGGACAGTAATCCTAAGTGGTTTCTTAGTTACATATACCTTCCTATTAGAATATTTTGAATAATTACTAAAAGAGCTGAAGCAGTTGACAGCACTAAAAAAGTAATATTGCACAAGCTAAGCTATATGTTAGGCTTCAGTTTTGTTGCTCAGTTTGTGATGACATGCAAGTACTTCTGGAACACAATATTATTTGCAACTTTAATCTCTGAACATATAGTTAAAGGTATCACCTAGCTGAAATTCAGTTGCTGGATTCAGAACAATTTCAGCATTTTATTTATGTCTTTACTTAGGTTTCTACATTAGGAGAATCATGGGCTGTTAGGTGATGTGATGTGATGGGGAAAGCTTGCAGAGAAGTGATGCTGTGAGAAGAGTGAAGATACTGCTCTGTTGCTGTTCTGTGTGCCAGTAGAAGATAAAAACTTGTCACTTCCTTACAAAAAAAAAAATAGAGAAGAAAAACGTTGTGTAGAGGAGAATGCTAGGATAGCTCCCCAAGCAATATGCCCCTGCAATTTGTTATGAAGACCTGAGCATAACACTTCTACCTAGTAGATTGTATATAACGTAGTTGATGCTTCCTCGAGTTGATGGTGAGTCAGTGCCCTAAAGCAGAATACATGGTATTGCTCCTGTGTTTGTTCTTACTAAGAAAACTGTTCGTGTGAATTGAGCAGTAACAGTTTATTAAGAAGGTAACTGGACAGAACTTCTCTGGAGGTTCATGTAGTTTAAAGTAGTTTTCAAAATTTCCTTAAAATCTTGAAAGCCAGTTTTTCTGATTGCATGTCTTGTCGTCCAGTAAGAATCTGCCTATGAACACAAAATTAAGGTGATACTAATTACTATCAAATGTGTCAAATACACTCCCCACCACAAAACCTATATAAAAAACATGGCACCCTTAGTGAGTTTTGAGTAGTGCTGTTAACTTCAGTTAATAAATACGCTGTTGTGTGGATTTCTTACAAATCCATAATAATACCCATCATAAGATTGCAAGAACCACTTGGGACCACTGATAGTTGCTATAAAACGTTAAAAAATTGCAGTAATAGAATTATAAAGATAAGGTTAAGGAACTGCCTGTCATTTCTGAAGCAGAATTTAATTTTTCGTACAATTAATTACTTGATTAATGAATTCATTTAAATAAAGTTAAATGGACATTAATATAAGGACAAGTACCTTAATGATCTAATTTCTATGTGTCATTTGGAAGCTCAGTATATGGATTTATTTAAATGCTTGCAATTCCAGTGGTGTTTGTAGTGCTAAAATAGAAGCCTATCATTGGGGAACTTGATTATTTCAGGAGTAGCTATTTTGGTATATACTTCTAGATTAGAAGCTGAAGTTTATTAAACTAAACTGAAAAGGATGACCTTGTGTTCTGAAATGGGAAGGCCTTTCTGAAAGGCTGTACAAAAATACAGACAGACAGCCCTCCATTCTTGGACATTCAATTCAGCTTGGCTCTGCCGTATCTTCCAGATACTTGGGGTTTCTTTGGAGAAAGGATCTGTCTGCTGCCTTGGTTGAAAGGAACAGAAACGTACTGCAGTCAGTCTGGTTTCCTTATGTGCTGTGGGGAGCCTTGAATAGTGAGGGGCTTTGTATATCAACTCCCCTCCAAAGTTTAGGCTAAGAAGTAATTATTAAGATGGTTTGTTAGGATTTGGGGACCATTATCTTACAATGTATAGCTCTATTTTCAGGTGGAGAAGATGGAGGATGGGTGTTGTTTTCTAACAGCTTTTGAGTCCCTGACATCCTTCTCTTGGCTTCTCATAACCATCATTGTGTCATGACAGTAACTGCCTTAATAATTTTTTGTTATTTTTGCACAGCAACTTTAAAGTTATCTCATTCAAGCTCTGTTATCCTCGTGGTTGCTGTCACTTTCTGACAAAAAAAGAACTCTTTTGAGACTCTGTTACTGGTTATGTTGTATTTTTTCTAAGAGGAGTGCTTACTTAAGGTGTCCTGAAATGTTTTTGTTTTTCTTTTTTTTCTCTTTTTTTTTTTTTTTTAAAGAAGTACACAGTATTTTCTGCAGAGTACATTAAAAAGCTTCTGTTGCAGTGATATGTTCTATTTTTGTGTTGCACTGCAGAAAAAATAATTTTCACTGACATCGAGACTGTAAAATAAAATTTTACATACTGATTAGAATTGGAGCTTGATTGTTCGTGCAGGCACACAAATATGTAAATAATTGCCAGGAAATAGAAATTAGAAGAAAAAGAAAACCGACAAACCTAAACCTCCTGGCTTTGTTACCATAGATAAAACATATTGGAAGGTAAATCTCATGTTCTAGATCACTGCCACTGGTAGTGGGTAGGTTTTTTTTTTGTCTTCTTCCCAGTTGAACATACTAATGTGTCAAGAGATACCATTTTAATTCTGAAGACTCCTGAGGCTATATAACTATCTTCCATGTTCCCCTCACTTCTCATGGTGGATGTACGTGTGGGATTGAGAGTGGAGCACCAAGTTCACCCCTGTTCATGTTTTGTATATTATGTTTACAATCTGTACTATAGCTGCTGCAAATTAGAGCAGCTGCCTGACCTTCATGTGTCATGGGAGGGGATGAGAGATGTGGATTTGTTATTGTGAACAAATGCTATTTTTCCAGCTTTTCCTTGATACTTTCAAGAGCTCAGGAAGACACAAGTTTTGGTGGTGGTGTTTTTGTTGTTTCTTTGGTTGTTCCTTGCATTTTGTGCCAGACTCTCCATAAGTTGAGGCCTTTAACCAGCTGAGTTTCCATGTGATGGGTTGTAGGATGCCCAGGAACAGCTTTACATTTGCAGCTGTTTTGTCATTTGTCTTGCAGTTCTTGACAATTGCTTCAGAGAAAAGTTGTTTCCCAGAAGCTTCTTCCAGGGATTTTGTCTCGCTTCGGACTTGTTTTTGTGGACACAGAGAAAGTGTTAGGAAGTATCAGTTCTTCCATTCCCTTGCATTTTCCTATAGCTTTTTCAGACCTCTTAACAGTGCAGAGCTTGTCTTTAAGACTGTTCAAATATTACTTGAGAAACATTTTTCTTAAGGTATGTGGTCTTGTAAACCATGCTTTAAAGTTTCAAAAGACCTACATGATCTTGGATGCTTTAGTATTCACACCCAAAAGTATACAGTCCAGAAGACAGATAAGGCAGGATTGGTGGAACATCCCTTTGAATTTTGATGACAAACTAGTTCCTGTTCTTGTAAGGACAGGAGGTTCTGCATTTTATGTGAACCTTTTATTAACAGGCAGGCTTGTTTTTTGTTTTTTTTGTTTGTTTGTTTTTTAAATGCTGAAAAAAAGTGTTAAAAAGAGGTTTTTAAATTTGGAAAGAAGGTGATCTTGTGGCTGACAAACACATTTCACAGGCATGGGAGAACTGTAACCCTTTTTTTTTTTTTTTTTGTGCTATGCACAGGTAAGCTACATAGTGTAGGATAGTTTATTACATGTGACCCATCCCACCGGATGCTTTGGTTCAAGTGTTAACATGCACCTTGCTTCCATCTAAGCCTGCATACTTTTGTATGGTGACATTTCCTTTATGCACTTCTTCTGTAGCATAGCTAGCTAGGATTGGGTGTTGGGGATGTGTTTCATGTCTGCTTTTGGTGTGTAATGAAGACTGTTTCTGTTTGTTTTTCTGGGAAAAAAAGTTATTCTCCCTCTAGGAAGAAAGAATGCTTTCAGTTGAATGCTTTAGATAACAAGTTGTGAGGGACCAAGATAAGACTTACATTACTGGAGCTAAAAGTTTCAAAAATGTGGTCTCAGAGTTCCATCCATGAGGAAAGTAAACCTTGATAGCTCTGCTTTTTCAAATGATATAAGGAAGTCTTAACAAAAGATGCATTTTCTCCTTCAAAACGTTGTGATTTGTTTATACCTAAGCTTGCTGGTGATAGTCCACAGTTCACTTAAATGAGACAAGTGAAGCAAGTTAGTCTATTACTTCAGAAGATCAAAAGTTATTAGTGGCAGAAAAAGAACAGACTCAGTCTCTTAAAGCTCTCTTCTCCTATAGCCTGAAATAATTTCAGCAGTAGCTATTTGGAAAAACTGATTTTTCCTTCATCTGGTCAGCTCTGCCAGTGGGTGTTTCAGTTTGGGGGAGAGATACTTTGCCATGTTAAATGAAGAACCTGAGCAAAGCTGGCAGTAAAAGTGCCTGTCTGCACTGGAGCAATGTAAGTCAGATTTCACCTGGTGAGCAGGAAAATGACTAAAGGATGCTGAGGTATACAAAAACTTGGAGACTGCCAGTGATTTACTGGGGGGTGGTGCAGATAATCTGCACTGCCAGGCCACTGGCTCATTATAAATGCAGAAATAATATCTGGGGGCTGAGGAAGAATAGTGACAACTGGGAAGGCTGACCTGCTCTCCTGGGGTTTTTTGTTGAGTCTTATAATAGAATTAGTATAAAATTAGAGGTTGATAAAAAGACTGTCATTTAGGATGTCTGTAGTATTTAGGAACGTGATCCACATAATGTATAATATATGCAATTTATCACTTGCAGGATACTCAGTGGAGGTAAAGATGACTATTAAAAAGACTAAATTTCTGTTTCCTGTTAGTTTTCTACTCTGAGTTGTGAGTAAACCAGGCATTTTCAGTAGTTCTGTGTGAGCAGGTAATTTTATTTTGTAGAGTACGTTTGTCGCTGTGACATTTAGATCATCCTTATTTGAACTAATCTCAAGGATAAATGGGAGTTTGGCCTCAGAACTATGAGGGAATGCACTTTGTATTCTTGTGTTTTTCAAAGCTGCACATTTCTAATGATTTCCAAGGTAAACAGACATTAGCAAATTCTTCCCCAATTCCAATATTCCTATTACTGCCAGTCATGAGGAGGAGCTGGGCTTAACCCAGTTATGTTTGGTAGGATGGAGTTTTCTCTACAGTGATATTTTTATCACCTGCTTTTAGCACTTTCAGCTGGGTAGCTGTGTGTTTGGCTATGCTATGGACTATCTATGGACTATGCTATGGCTATGCTATCACAACAGAGCCCAGAACGATGTTATGTAGAGGGGCTGGTAGGGAGGGAGCAGCTCACGTGGCAGAAATTCTTGATGCCCATACTGTCCAGAAGACCTTTTGTGTGTTGCTGAACCATAGGCTCATGGGCATCAAACAATGCTGGTGTCCTCTGTTGCAGTACAACAGTGGCTGAAGAAAAGACCAGTCACTTCATAGCAGCTTGTATGTTAAAAGTCAGAAAAGATACATCTTTTTAAAAGATAAATTCATAGTTGGTTTGAAATCAGTTAGCATTTCTTTATCACTGATGCTTTAAAATCTTAACTTGAAATACCTTATTCATACCTTAGTTGGTGACTTTTAAAGTGCAGCTTTTTATTTCTGGTTTTAGATAGAAACAAGTGTATGTTTTAATGTGAAAACGCTGTTACTTCATTCTTCTTGAATGAACACATAAAAATTATTTAAATGGTGTTTTTTTTAAAGATAGTCTAGGAAGGAGTTTTGATTTGCATTGTCTTCTCTTTTCGTTAAAATGTACTAGTACCCAGCAGACTTTCTTTTATAAGAAAAAGGTAGGTTTTTATCAGGAAAAATAAATGAAGATTCTTATGTCTGCCTTGTGCTATTTCCTGGAGTGTTTTTTGGAATGGTGGTATTTAAGAATGCACATGATGCTCTCTTCGGAACTAAATTGTAGGGCTGAGGAGTTGGATGTCTTTATTTTTCTTCTGCAGTAGCAGTTAGTCATTACCACTTTGTAAGTATTAACAAAAGCTGGTTTAAAGCTGGCTAAATTTGTCTTCTATTTGTATTTTTTGGCTTCTGGTGCCTTGTCTGTTAATTTAACTAGTTCATTAACCACAGTGTAATTCCTTAGCCAGACCCAGATGCATTTTTATCTTTAAATTGTGGGTAGAAAATGAAGGATTGAAAGATATTTTTTTCATAAATATATGAGACTCTTGTTTTCCATCTTGTGTGTTGCGTGAAGCAACTGCTGCAGACCTTAGTCAAGTGCTACAGGTTCTTTAGTGAGATGCTTAACACGCTGCCTTTGTCACGCTTCAACTCTATGTGTATTTTAAACGTTGTTGTTTCCGTGTTTTACAGTTTTAAAGTTCCTCTTCATAAAAACACTGACTAGTGTTCTGTGTTCCAAAGTGTGTGACGAGCATGGGTTCCCAGGGCAGAAGTTCTGGTTTGGGATGATGCTTCTCTCCTTGTCGCTGTGCTCCCTCTTGTGTTGCACTGCCCTCTGCTCATACTGCCCTTCTGACTGATACTAAGGCATGATACATCTCGTTTCTTTTGGGTCATTCTCAAGTAGCAGTCCACTGATCTATGGAATTTTCTGTTCTACCTTTGCATATGATGCTCCTTTTGTCTGTATTAGTGAACTGCTTTATGTGTGCCTTCTTCTTCTAAGTGGGGATTTCACATTATTGTCCTTGGTAACTAGTTAAGGAATTTCCTCATGGCTCCAGTTTGGGAAGCTGGCATCAGAAGTAGCTAAGGGTCAGCAGGCTTCTACTTTTTTTTTATCCAGTATCGTGCCTTGTCCTGCTTTCATGCGTGTAGCATTTCCTATGGTTTCTTCCTAGCAGGAAAGCACCTGTATGGTTGTCTTTTCGTTGTCTTTATTTAAATTCCAGTTGTTATTCTGGGGAGAGACTGTACAGTCTACAAGGTATAGACAGACTTATTAGGCTTTTTCACTGTCCATAAATATTTCTTCTTTCAGGTCAGTATAGTTTCTTTTATATAGCCAGGGGAGTGGAATATGATGTGGCTGGCTGACCTTACTGTATGTGACCTTTCTGTACATGGCACATATGCTGAAAGTTGGGGTGCCCCTGCTATACTCCTCATACCTAATAATTTACAAAGACCAAGCCTGTACTATAACCTTCTGTGGCACAAAAATATTGTCTGTAATTTCACTTTTTAAATTGGTTATGATATTGATGCTTTTTGACTCTTTAAGATACGAGCTGGAATTCAAGAAGAATTAGAGTTCTCTTAAAGCAGGCTCTCACAGAAGTGCGGAACATCAAAAAAACCCCACAAAACCAAACCAAACACAACACAACAAAGAATCCCCCCATAAAAACCAATTAAAAGATTTAGGGTATAACGTGTAAATAATAGTGCAATACAGATAAGACAATTATTTTACAAAATATATTTAATCCATGTGATCAAGATAAATTTATCTTCAGTTTAGAAACTAATATTCAAAGAAAGTTGAACAGATGTGCAGATAAGGATTTCATTGTGAACAGAAATTCAGTGCTGGAAAAACACTGTCTTTGAACAGAACTCACTGATGTATGAAGTGTTATTTATGAAGGATTACTCTGTACAAGGAAAGCAAATCTGTTGCTAACACTGAATATTTAATTCTGTAGAAAGCAGATGATGTGCTGGTTGTGGTGAAGCTGTTTCTCTTAATGCAACCTTTGGACAGCATGGATTGCTCTTTACTCTTTTAGAAAAGTTTTTCTGATGGTCTTACATCTGTAAGTGAAGTGAATCTTGGTGTATGCTTTCCATAACTAAGGTTTTGTGAATTTGCTGCTTAATAATTTTTTGTGCTATTCAATGTGCTAAAGTCTAAAAAAAGTTAAGATTGAAAAATCTTCAAAGTCCACGGAGTTAATAGGTTAGATATAATGATACTAAATTAGGAGAAATGTTTTCATGGTGTAAGTAACTTACTTTGGGGAATATATTATTTAAAAAAAAGTAAATGCGTTGCTTTCAACTGCATGTGTATTTAGGCAACCTTGCCTGTGTTGATACATGACAAGAGTAAACTGAATTTTTTTCAGAGGAGACAAAAACTAAAGATTAAATTTTCAGATCAGCATAGCTATTTGTTGTCTGCTTGGGTCCCAGAGCTGAAAATTTTGATGGAAAATGGTTTGGATACTGATCACATTGGTTTAACTAAAAAATTGAGTGACAAAAATTGTGTACACATTCATTGGGTTTTTTTAAGTAGCAAATAACTTTTTTCTTCAGCTTCATGCAAAACAGGGCCAACAATCTCACAAAGTTATTTCTTTGTTCTTTTCAGTGATGTTTTGGCACTGCCTATTTTCAAACAGGAAGATTCCAGCCTTCCACAAGAAAATGAGACCAAACATCCACCCTTCCAGTATGTTATGTGTGCTGCAACATCTCCAGCAGTAAAATTATATGATGAAACTCTTACATACTTGAATCAAGGTTGGTATACATATGTTGCAGACATAACTATTTTGAATGGAGCTGGTGGTGCAAGTGTAAAACTGGAATTGTTTCATGTTTTGATACATGTGGGTACATCCAAAATAAACACATGTCAAAAAAATGAGGCTGGATACCTTACTAGTAGTTGTGTTTGGTCCAGCTTGCAGACTCAAGAGCTATAGACTGTCACTGCTTCCCCTTTAAAGTCTTTTCCTTCTCTATGTGTTACCCCTCTCCATTCTCTACTGCCCCCAATAAAATCAAGCCAGCAGAGCTCTTAAGAGACAAACTTCTAAGTACTAACAGCTTGAAGTCAAGACTAATTTTGCATTCCTGTTTAAACTTCATTGATAGTAGCAATATCAGCAAAGGCAGTACAACTGACTTTGTAGTTATCTTTGGAGTTTGTGTGTATTTCACTGTTCTCTGTCTACATTTATCAGAAATGAAATAGAGAAATACTTCACATGAGTCTTGCTCTTTTTTCCTTATAGCCTGTGGCTGATTTGCATCAGTTTTCCTTCTACACAGGGCACTGACTGCTGGGTAAACTAATCTGAGTGTAATCATTGCCATATGGTAAAATCTCCCTCACTTCTGTTAATGATGTTTGTGTCCTAACGTTTGGTCATCTAGTATTCTGAACTCCAATAAACCAATTTGTGTCCAAATCAATGGCTTTGTACACTGCCACACCCCCACGTGGGAGTGCTCTTCCCTGCACTAGCTCTAGTACTCTAGGGTTACCTTTTGGAGATTTAGTTATGCTTTTTCTTTGTGAATTCAACCCCAAATGTCAAAATAGATGACACTGTAATTAGAGGACAGAGGCCAGCAGCACAGTTTCTACAAAAGATAAAAACAATTTTTTAAAATTACCATCACTGTTACTTTTCCCTGTCTTACCATGTTGTGGCACAATTAATCTTAGCTTCTATGCACCTCTGAGTGGTGTACTACTTTAGTGTGCAGTTAAGAGGGCACAAGTTACTATATGTACTGGTGATTTTTCCTTGGTGTTTGTGAGCTATTTAACTTATTAATTCACTAGATTATAGAATTTGCGCATTTTACATATGTATTCTCTTGATAGGATATCCTTTTTGCTCATGCTGAAGTGCTTCTTGTCGCATGAACTTCTGGGGATGCATTTATATACCTGGAAGTGTTTAACTGTAATCTGGGCCCGAAAATCTGTGAGAGCTGGTTTTATCTAATTTGATACTGACATTACAACAAAGCATCATTTTCAGATTTGCATGTGAATAAAGTTTCTAACAGCTTCATTTTGCAGCATCCAGTCTGTCTAAATACACTTTAAACATTACCTAACTCTTCTACTAAGTGAGACTAAAGGAAGTTCTTTAAGTGATTTGTAGTTCCTTACACACATGATCTCCCATTTCAGCCATTTGCTTAGGCAGTTTTACTCAGGTTTGTTTGGTTTTTTTACCATATTTTGTACTTTTCTCTCTTCAGGAGAAAACAGTACAGTTGCAGCAGTATGTTGGATCAGCAAGATGCTTTGCACTGTTTAAAAAAAGTTTTACAGAATTTAAACTCTGTAGAAATACACTTTATTTTCTTCAGTGTCAGGATCCAGCATCCCTGACCAAACAGGAAGCTTGAAGGTCAGCTCAGTGTTCTGGATAACCAACACAAGGTGACAAGCTGAAGGAGGAAAGTGTTTGCTGCATTTCCTCTGAGAAGAGCTTGCCATTTAATTGGCCATGTCTGAAGTGACTGTAATTGTTTCATCTTTCCTTGAAAATATTTTTCAATATAAAATTTTCTTTTGCAAAGAAATTTTGCTGTTATTCAGTGTCCAGCTTCTCCTGAAGTTGAAAGATGAAGGCGTTGGTATACTTTTTTCATAAATAAAAAAGAGAAAAAAGTAGCAAGTGCGCTTATGTGTTGCTACATCAGACAGAAAGACAGTGTATTTGCTGCCTAGGTTGAGACTTTTTCCTAAAAAATTCTGTTGGCCAGTTTTACAAACCATATATATATATATACTTATACATTAAAAAAAAATAATCCTGGTAGTTTTTGATATATGACATCATTCATACTGAAGCTAGCTTAAAATAGGGATCAAAATAGTTCTGGTCATTTGTGATGCAGTTTGCAACACTGAGGGAGTAGATAGGTTAGTGTAATGGGATCTATTAAGTACTCTAGAAAAAGAGTAATTTTATTCCTGGTCACTTTAGGTGTCTGGTTTCTAGTTTGGCCCTGTTATCAGCCACTGTCTTGCTTTAAATAATTTTGAAGAGTATTGTGAGAAGGGAGTACTATAAAGAGCTAATACCCTCTCTGATTTCATCAGTAATCATCTGGGTTTGCTGAGACTGGGAATGCTAGAAGCAATGGGAACGTTTACCCTGTCTGTTAAGTTACGGTGACATTCTCTAAGGTAATATTTAAGCAAGCCCTGACTTCACTCTCTGTCAGTAAGAATTTTAATTGGAATAGCTAAGAGTGTCTTGCGCAGTTCAAGAAGTGTCTGAATGATGCGCTTAGTCATATGATTCATTTTTAGGTCCTGTCAGGAGTAGGGTGTTGGACTTGATCCATATGGGTCCTTTCCAACTTGATACAGCCTGTGATTCTATGAGCTAATGTATGTCTGCTAGAGGGACAACACAGCAGAGCATGAACAATCCAGGAGGTTCCAGAAGAGCACTGATGACAGCTTGCTGACCACTACTGTTAACCACAGCAAGTGTAAGACAAGCCTATGAGGAGAGGTGCTGTGCAATACCTTATAAAGGTACAAGCAAGGAAGGGTTTATTGGGGGTGTGAATGTCAGTGGCTGCCATGACCATGAATGAGGTGGTGGAGTTCAGGGTCCTGAGAGCAGGAAGCAGGATAGAAAGTAAGATCACATCACTGGACTTCAGGAGAGCAGACGCTAGCCTCTTCAGTGATCATCTTGGTAGAGTCCCATGGGATAAGGCCCTGGAGGGAAGAGGGGCGCAAGAAAGCTGGTTAGTACTCAAGGATTGCTTCCTCCAGCCTCAGGAGTAGTGGATCTCAGTGAGCAGGAAGTTGGGCAAAAAATGCAGGAGTCGTGCATGGATGGGCAAGGAGCTCTTGGAAAAACATATGCAAGGTAGGCATACAGAAACTGAAAGCAGAGAGCAGTCATCTGGGAGAAATACAGACACTGTCCAAAGCATGTAGAGATGCAATCTGGAAAGCTAAAGCCCAGCTGAAATTAAATGTAAAAGATAATAACATGGTACATAAATGGCAAAAGGAAGACTATGGAAAATGTGTACCCTCCCTACTGAACAAGGCAGGGGCCTTCATGACAAAGGACATGGAAAAGGCTGAGGTATTGAATGCCTTCTTTGCTTCAGGCTTTACTGGCATCATGGGCCTTTAGGAAACCCAGGCCCTAGAGACAGGGGGAAAGTCTGGAGCAAGGAGACTGTAGTCTTGGTGGAAGAGGAGCAGGTCAGGAAATACATAAGCAAGTTCAACACACATAAACCCACAGGTGCTGAGGGTGCTGGCAAATACCATTGCCAGGTCACTCTCAATAGTTTTTGAGTGGTGATGGTGATTAGGAGAGGTGCCTGAGGACTACAGGAAGGCAAACATTGCTCTGATCATTAAAAAGGAGGACCCAGGGATGACACACTGGTCAGCTTAACCTCCATCCATGGGAAGGTGATGGGAGGAAGTAATCCTAGGAACAATTTCCAGGCACATGGAGTACTGGAAGGTCATCTGGAGTAGACAAGCCTATGAGGAGAGGTGCTGTGCAATACCTTATAAAGGTACAAGCAAGGAAGGGTTTATTGGGGGTGTGAATGTCAGTGGCTGCCATGACCATGAATGAGGTGGTGGAGTTCAGGGTCCTGAGAGCAGGAAGCAGGATAGAAAGTAAGATCACATCACTGGACTTCAGGAGAGCAGACGCTAGCCTCTTCAGTGATCATCTTGGTAGAGTCCCATGGGATAAGGCCCTGGAGGGAAGAGGGGCGCAAGAAAGCTGGTTAGTACTCAAGGATTGCTTCCTCCAGCCTCAGGAGTAGTGGATCTCAGTGAGCAGGAAGTTGGGCAAAAAATGCAGGAGTCGTGCATGGATGGGCAAGGAGCTCTTGGAAAAACATATGCAAGGTAGGCATACAGAAACTGAAAGCAGAGAGCAGTCATCTGGGAGGAATACAGACACTGTCCAAAGCATGTAGAGATGCAATCTGGAAAGCTAAAGCCCAGCTGAAATTAAATGTAAAAGATAATAACATGGTACATAAATGGCAAAAGGAAGACTATGGAAAATGTGTACCCTCCCTACTGAACAAGGCAGGGGCCTTCATGACAAAGGACATGGAAAAGGCTGAGGTATTGAATGCCTTCTTTGCTTCAGGCTTTACTGGCATCATGGGCCTTTAGGAAACCCAGGCCCTAGAGACAGGGGGAAAGTCTGGAGCAAGGAGACTGTAGTCTTGGTGGAAGAGGAGCAGGTCAGGAAATACATAAGCAAGTTCAACACACATAAACCCACAGGTGCTGAGGGTGCTGGCAAATACCATTGCCAGGTCACTCTCAATAGTCTTTGAGTGGTGATGGTGATTAGGAGAGGTGCCTGAGGACTACAGGAAGGCAAACATTGCTCTGATCATTAAAAAGGAGGACCCAGGGATGACACACTGGTCAGCTTAACCTCCATCCATGGGAAGGTGATGGGAGGAAGTAATCCTAGGAACAATTTCCAGGCACATGGAGTACTGGAAGGTCATCTGGAGTAGTCAGCATGGATTCACCAAGGGGAAGTCACACTTGACCAACTTGATTAACTTATATGGTGAAACAGCTGGCTTTGTAGTCAAGGGAAGAGCAGTGAATATTGTCTACAAGTCATTGTCTTCAGTAAGGCTTTTTTCTGTTTTCTCCAGTAAGATCCTTGCAGTGAAGATAATGAAGCATGGGCTGGATAAGCATCATTGGGATACTCAGAAGCAGCCTGGACTTGGTCTTGGGCAGCTGACTCTAGATAGCCTTGCTTGAGCAGGGGTGTAGCTCAAGATGACCTTAAGAGATCCTTTCCAACATCAACCATTCTGTGATTCTCTGTTTTTTTGTGAAAGTGGGTACTGTAGTTACAGTGTTAAGCAGTGGTCATTTGAGGCTCTTAACCACCTTTTGTTGTTTTGCTTCTGTCATGACTCTCCTGTAGAGATTGCTATGATGAGAGCTGTGGTGCTTTCTGCACTTTCAGAGCAGCAACATGTCCAGAAATCCAGAATGAAACTTACCTGTCCTTTTGTTTTGAAAGCTTCTCCTGCTGTCTTCGGATTTTTTGAGCCTGGCATTCGCTGATTTTAATTTTATTCATATCTTTAGTCTTAATATGATTCTATACCTGTTACAGGCAAGCAACAGTTGTTGAGCAAGCACCTTCAAAATAACAGTGAAAGAGAACAGAGAAATATTTGCAAAAGTTTAATAGTGCTAGATCTAAAAAAAAAACAACCTCATGCTGCCTATAAATGCAGATTGACTGTTCATGTCTTACCTCTCCATGTGAGCAGAATAACACTGGTAACTGAACAAATTGCATTAAGAGGTCGAGAAATTCCCTCATTTTAAATACAGGAGGAGAAATTATCTGTTGCTTTACATTTTACTTATATATAGATTTATGTCATCCATGCTGCTGGGGTAAAGAAAACCTGTACGTGTGTATATACATGAATGTGCTAATTATGTTACAGCAAAAACATGCCAAACAGTGGTGGTTATGTCAGTCTGTGGAACAGTGAAAGGTGTTAAAAAATCATCTGCTTATTCACAAGCGTATGAAAGCTGAACCTTTTTCATGTAGGGCAAGCCAGTAAATGTCTTAAATGTAGCAAACACTAGAGCATAAAGGTAGTTTGGAGGGTAATGTAGAAGGTATTGAATTTACTGCACTTGATCTTTGTGAATGCCATAATTGATTTTGTCCTGTATTTAAAAAAAACCCCAAAACATTTTTGCAAATAAATGTATTGCTCACCTTGAAAGAAAAAAAAAGTCTCTGTAGTTCAAATAAATTACTTCTCACTTTGAAGCAAAACAGTTAATCTAATTAACTAGAAAGTTAGGTTCATTCATACCTGCTTGAAATAGCTAGTAACAAACTCTTTTAAAGCCTTATTTTAGAAATGATACAGAGCCTACAAATCTTAGAGAGGCAACAGGTACATGGGCAAAACTAAACATGTGAGAATAGTTTGTTGCATGAAAAGTATAGAGACCCTTTGCAAGAATTGGTTTTGAAACAGTAATCTGTGGTTAGTATGTTGTCTTTCAGGAGGTTAAAAAATAAAGAAATTCAGCTTTGAAAAATTTTCCTTGAGAACCAAAAAAATAGAAAATCAAGTACTTACATTTCATGTAAAATGAAATACTTTACTTTAGAAAGTATACTTTGTTTTCAAGGGACCAAAAAGTTTCATTTTGTTCCACTGATTCCTGTGCAATTAAGTGAACCTTGTAAAAATTTCTTAAGCACAAGTTTCAGGCACTGATTCTTGTGCACTGTGCAGGAACCAAAAGCTAATTCAGGTGCATCAAACAGAGAGCAGCTTTGTGCTCTGACTCTTCTGATAAGAACTTTTTTTCTCTTTAAAGGTCAGTCCTATGAAATACGGATGCTAGATAATCGGAAAGCTGGAGACATACCAGAGATCAATGGAAAACTGGTGAAGGTGAGCTGAAGATTTCTAGACAGCATTACTAACAAACCTCTGATAGTGGCATATGAAAAGAGTAGTTTTTAACCGTTTATTGTACCCTGATTCATAGAGGAAGGTGGACCAGCTGATCTGACCAAGAAGGAAAATCAATGCTGTGGAACGTAATATCTAGTTTTGTTGTTTTATGCCAGCTACACTACAAATTAAAGGAGTGTACATGCATGCATGTATTTCCCCATTTATTAATGAGATGATTTAATGTGATTTTAGGTAACTAGAGGTGAGCTAATTGCTTTGTGTACCATTTATGAGACCTGTAGTCTGATCTCTTTAAGTTGAGATTAGTCTGCACTAAATGTGCCTGTCTTTTTGTCCTGGCTAAAAGGAAGCTGTGATATCAGTGATCTCAAATGTAGGTAATCTAAAGTTAGGTGAGAGAAATCCAATCTAGAGACTGTATATTATAAAGATTTTTTTTCTGCTGTCACTAGATACCTGTTCAGAATGACTTATTTAACAGTGATACTAAAAAGTATGAAGACTATGAATACTCAATGCATTGAGTCCTGTGTAGTAAGGAATTATTTTATGCAAAGCTTAAGGTATCTAGTTGTCTATAGATTTGTATCTGTCATCATCTGAGCCATTTTGTTTTCCATTTCAAGTGATCAGGAGATGTAGAAGAAAAATAGAGGATCATTTAGAAAGAAGTGAAGGTATTAAGAGCATGTTTCTCAATAGGTCTTATGAAGACTAACCTATGGTATTTGCAAGAGCAGAATATTGGCACATAGGAGAGAGATCTGTAGTAAAAAGATCTTTAATCCTGCTGCTTCTTGAGCAGTTCATTCCATAGCTGAACTCCTGTTCCTAATTCCAGATTGGTCCCCTTACACTTAAATGTTAGCAGAAAGTACTATGGATCTGAGGTATTACATGAAGTATAAGAATGAGGTAGACTGAAAAATGTCCAATTCATGGTACAAATTGTAAAAAGAACTGATGTGGGGTGGAGAGGTGAATTTTTCTTAGAAGCATCTGGTAGTTTTACTAAATTAAAAAAAAATAAATCTTACTCATATGTTGGAGAAGAAGGAAAAATACTTCAATTAAAGTAATTTTGATAGTGGTACTGGTAAGTACACTAGAACAACATGCCTGTGGGAGGCTGAGTCAACTTGGGGCTATATAAATTGTAAACTTTGGCTGGCTTTTATAGTCCTATGCCTTGTTCTTATTTGTATGTGGCATGTTTGTTGAGAAATACTTTCAGGAAGTGTTAAGCACAAGTATAAAACCAGGAATTACGAGTTCTGTAATTAAACATTTTATAACCTGACATGTTGACTTGCTGTAATAAGCAAGACTGTTTTGCCCGTTTAGGTACCGTTTCCTTACAGCATTGGGGAATGTCTGCTGTAATTTTACTGGTTAATATATTGGTCATAAGCCCTCTGGTAGGTAAAATAAGATGAAGCAGTGTAAAAGTCTAAAAAAGTGAATTTTTATCATAGCAAGGTGGTGTAATGCCACGTTGTTTTGAGTTGTTACCAGGTTGAGGGAGATTCGAGATGATCCTGATGGTGAAATTAAGACACAAACAAGGTCAAATGTCACATACACACCAAACTGCAACAACTTTAGGTGCAGGTAGGATAGGAGGAGACAAAGAAAGTCAAGAAAGTAGCAGAAATATGGATAGTTGGAAGAGACAGGATAGTCACCGCCACGGATCCAGCCGCATCCTGAAGGTTCGCAAATTTCAGTCGGTCAGTGGGGAAGATCTCATGTGCTGTTGGGCTGTAGCTCCTTTTATAATTGATGTATCTGCCTCTTCTCTGAAAAACGTGGCAATACCTGGAACCAATCTGCATTATCACCTCCCTCAGTCATGCATGCAGAGCCACCAGGGAGTCTGCAGGGTTGCTGGGGGTACTCTCACAGCTTTCCTTCATCTTCTGCCAGCCTTCTTCACTGTAACCAGCTTTTACCTCTTGTATTGAGGGCATGCCCTCTGAGAGGATGCACACCTGACAGATACTGTGGCTTACAGGCCCAGCACACCTTGTCTTGTTTTGCTTAGTAGTGAGATAAATTCTTGTTAAGCTGTAGCAGCAAGCCTGCACACAGAGTGTGCTCAAACCTTGCCGTTTGCCTTGCATCCTGCACACGGAAGGAAGCCTTGTGGTTTGCTTCAGAACACTGTTGAAGCATAACAACCGTTCAGTCTCTTACACAAATCAATGCATTTTTTTCATTTTGGACACATAATACTAGCATCTCTGTACTTCAAAAAAGAAGGCATTTCATGTTGGTGAAGGTGGCTGCAGAGATTTCCAAGTTCCAAATTTGCCAGTTTGCAGCAAAAAAAGGAGCAGTATGTTTGTGTGTGCGTGTGCATCCACTGTGCTTGCTGTTATCTTCGGAATAAAACCAGGGAAAGGCAGTGTATCTGGAGGAGGCACTTTATTAAAAGTCTTCAAGGTGTTTTTGAGCAGTTCTAGCCACTATTAATACAAGTGAGACTGTAGACTAATAGCAAAAACCCCAAAAGTTTAGAAGTTTGCATCTTGTTCAGTAGCAATTAATGTACACAATTTTTTCCCTCTCTGTATAATAAATTGCTTTGTGCATGCATTCATGCAGCAGAATAGAAACCTTTGTTTAACAAGACTAGGGCCACAGTTGTAGCAGAACTGGTCACAAAAATAGGTATTGTTGATTAATTGCTTCTAGTTCAGTAAAGTTAATTGTATTTTTAGGTTAATATTTCAGCTAGAACAGTTGGAATAGTTTGGAAGTTGTTTATTACTTTCTACTATTAATTGAAACCCGGGAATTGTAAATTTATAAATACTAGGAAGAGATTTTTCTATTAATTTTATTTCTTAAAATTGTATACAAAAATTTAAAAAATCCCAGTTAAAAAAATGGTCCAACTACATTTTCTGCTTTTTGGAAAAAAATTAAGTCTTGTGTTTGTTTTCTAAAATAAGCTTGTCTTGCCTGTACAGTGTTGATCTGTGCTGTGTTGCTCAGTTCACTGCATGTCACTCATAGTGACCTTTAGAATATTCAATCAGATGTAATTCTCTCTTGCACTTCTACCACATTTTCAGATATCTCTTGCTGCTCAGTTCTTTTTCTGTATTCTGGATATTTTGGGATACTGGTATTTGCCAGTTTGGTTTTTTTGCTGTAAAAATGTGTTTATCAGCACTGTGGTTATTTTGGAATGTTCTAGTGCTTTATCTTCAGACTGTTTCCAAACATACAGTAACTTTGTGGCTTATCAGATGCTTGTTTTCTTTGTTAGAGTATTATAAGAGTTGTGTTCCATGACAGAAGGTTGCAGTACACAGAACACCAGCAGTTAGAAGGTTGGAAGTGGAACCGCCCTGGGGACAGGCTTCTGGACTTAGGTACAATTGTTTCTACCTGTTGCCACTGTATGAAATTCAATTTCCAAATGTAATTGATGATAGTCACATTTATGCAAGGGCTGTTGAAAAAGGCAGACCTGTTTTCTGTGTGCTGCTTTGTCAGTGTGAGTTTTGAATATAAATGTTCTTACTTTTGTATTCCTTTTTAAGTACTGCAGAAGTAAGATAGCAACTCTGCACCCTTATGCATTTTGTAATCTTTCTACTTTTGATTACCAAATGTTACAGGAATTAGGAGAACACAGGCAAAAGTAACTTCCTTCAGTAGACTATGGAAATAACACCAACGTGGTTTCTTGATTTTGCATAAGTATTATTTTTGTTTCGCAAGCTGGGGGAGCTGGGGAGGAGTGGGAGGCTAAAATAACACTTCCAAACTCTGAGCACTTGGTATGTTGAGTCTACTAAGTTTCTTCAGATTAGTCCTGAGAAACTTCAGGAGCTTGTGGTCAAGCCACTGAAGTTCACCTACCTATGTTTGCTGATGGTAACCTTATATTAAAATTTGTTTCTAGTGTTTTCTTGGAATATGATTATTTAAAAATATTTACTACTTATTTTACTGTAGATATTCCAATGTCTGTTGGCGTAATTGATATCAAGACAAATCCAAGCCAGCTCAATGCAGTTGAATTTTTGTGGGATCCAACAAAATGTACATCTGCTTTTATTCAGGTTTGAAACTTTACTTGACTGGATGTTTGTGTTTGGTGCCTTTCAGCTCACAAACAGTGTAGCGTGTTTGCACTGTGAAGCTTCTTTGTTTCTTATTTGTGGGATAGCCATTAATTACCAGCTTTGTAAAAACCACAGGTTCATAGCAAATGTTATATATAAGGTATATAAGGTTTCCTAGTTAGGTTTTTCAACTTGATTTGAGTTTACAAAAGATTCTTCTAAAACAACTTAAATAAATGGCTTTCAAAAAGCTTATTGCAGAAAGCTGCAGAATAAATTATGTATATATAAATTTATGTATATAGATACATAAATGTATGTATACATAAATTAATTTATGTCCCTCTAAATAACAGTCACTACTTTTTTTTTTTAAGTTGAGAGGCCCACTCTTCTAGTTACTGAGCTTCAGAAGACGCTTGGCTTGAGGATAAAAAAATTAAAATTATGGTGCTACAAAGAGAATTTTTAATCAGATTTTCAGAGGTGTTTCTTACTATGTCAGTAGGCTTCCTTGTAGTAGGATTTTTATTATTTATATATTTGATATTTGGGGCAATTGAACATGCTTTCTGTGGAAATTATTTAGATGGAATATTCAGTTTGCATTGTAATTTTTCACTTTTGTCTTGGATGTGGTTTCATTATGGAGAAAAGATATAAAGTTGGAGGTAGCAGCATTTTGGAATGAGGCTTCCAAAAGAGGTTAAATTCCACATTGTCAGTAAATTACCTTCAATCTGGTGCAACTGAAGATATTTTTCTAGTAAGAATTACAGAAGTCCTAAAATGTACTCTCCTTGAAGAAGTGTGAGTGAATATTATTGAATATTTTTGTTGATGCGCTTCCTTAGAAGTGGTAGCAAGTTGAATGAAAATGGAACTGATTGTTATTGTGCAAGTATATTTCAATTATTTTAAAGGCTACAGAACACAGAATAGCAATGCTGATTGCCCTTAAAGCTTCAAATTCCAGCCTGTGGTTCTCTGTTGTTGATGGCTGTAGGAATTAAAAAGATAGTATTGTAATCATGGGGAGTGCAAGGTCCACAGTGCTTGGCTTTCTTAGAATTCTCTAAGGAAGTAAAAAAATTGGGAGCACTGTCCAGTGGAATTTATCATAACCCTTTCTATTACACTGGTTTTCTACTTAGATACTTTTAATGCGTATTTCTAGTTTATACGCCCAGTCTTCTGGGTGATGTAGCACTTGACACAATTTCATAGTGGTTACATAAAATAGGAAGTTGGGCATATGTGAAAGTATGCTGGTTTCACATGAGATGAAAAAAACTCTTCCAGTCAGTGCCTTTCTATAGTTTTGGTAATACTTATTACAAGTAATTCTGAAGTTTATTCTAAAAAGTTTTTGCTGTATTCATAGAATCATGGAATGGTTAAGGTTGGAAGGGACCTTAAAGATCATCAGGTTCCAACTTCCCTGCTATGAGCAGGGACCCCTCCCCACTAGCCCAGGCTGCACAAGCCTCATCCAACCTGGCCTTGAACACCCCCAAGGAGGGGCCTTCCACAAGTTGTCATCCACATATATGTATATATATATTTTTTTTATTATTATTATTTTTTTAATCCAGCAAGTGCTTATTTAGTAGGAATGTATAATGACTTCTGCTTTTTGGAAAGATTTTGGTGACACACTTGCTTGTTTCCCCACTTACCCATCAGCTCAAGTATAATGTTTTTGGGTTCATTTGCATGAGGGCATGAAAAGGTAGAAAATGTCAGTTATGCAGCTTGGTCATCAGATAGACTGGGTAATTTGTTACTTGTCCTTAGAAAATTTATATGATGTTGGTGACACATTCATGTCTAAAATACTTCTGAGGGTCTTTTTTTTTTGATGGTTGTTTTTGTTTGTTTTTTTTTTATTTTCAGGTACATTGTATTAGCACTGAATTTACCCCTCGTAAACATGGAGGAGAGAAAGGAGTTCCTTTTAGGATTCAGGTTGACACTTTTAAACAGACTGAAAATGGAGAATATACAGATCATCTGCATTCAGCCAGTTGTCAAATCAAAGTTTTTAAGGTAACAACAGAAAACAGATCCTTAATAAGTCTCTCAGAAGCTCTCATAAAGATGGGGGAACATCTTTATATTATTGCTGGACTTCTGAGATCAGATTTCAACTATAAAAACAATTTTCCACCTGCTTTCTTGCTCATCTTACTGTTCATTTTTAGCCAAAAGGAGCAGACAGGAAACAGAAAACAGACAGAGAAAAGATGGAAAAGCGAACTGCTCATGAAAAAGAAAAGTATCAGCCTTCATATGACACCACAGTTCTTACAGAGGTAACAAAATAGAATTGCACCTGTTTACTGAGGAGAAAATACAGATACATAGCTGCAGTCTTGGAAGGGTTGGGGAAGAATTAGTTCTACACAAAGATAAGCTTTTTATTTGACAAACTTGTCCAGTGAACAGCAACATTACATTGTAAGATTTTGTTCAGTAAACTTTCAGATACTTGGTGGATGCTTATAGTAAAAACACACTACGATTGACCATTATTTGACTGACTGTACTGAACCCTAGAGCAAGTCTTTTGGTACAGATCTAAAACCCTTGCAGCTGAAAAGGGGGGGAATCTAGTATTTAATTACCTGCCAAATTTGAGCTTCAAAGTGTATCTTTTGGACTTGACAGAATTTAAGGCCAGAGCCTCAGTAGGTTTTTATATTTTCTTTTTATTTAAGCATCAGTGAGTTCTGTGCAGTTTTGTTAAGATTTCAGAAGTTTTTAAAAGGCTTTTAGATCTTTCCTCACTGTATAATGAAAAGAAATTGATCCAAATCTTTGGTGTTTGTCCAGATGAGGCTTGAGCCTATAATTGAAGATGCAGTTGAACATGAGCAGAAAAAGTCCAGCAAGCGGACTTTGCCAGCAGACTACGGTGATTCTCTGGCAAAGCGAGGCAGTGTAAGGGACTTCTGCTTACCTTTTCATTGTGCAAGATACCTTGTGCAGTGTTAGATATAGGAGAAACTTCCATTATTTAAAGTAAAAATATTTTGATTGCTGTGTCTTAATTTTATTCACTTTTATGTATACCAATTACTCCATGTTGGCTTTCAGCAAAGGAATCCTTCCTAAATCTAACACTTGAATTGTTGCAGAGGGACTGTGTAACTTTTGAAAGTCAAGAGCTTTCCATTTATGTGACTTTAAATGAAATAGCTTTCTGCTTTCCTCCATGTATGTAAGTAGTGGAAGTAAGAACAGTGAAATTTAGTGTTTTGTTCCATATTTGTCCTTATAGTCAATATAAGTTTCCATGTACATCAATCAGTATTTTTAAAATGTTATGTGGCATTGCAGATGGTGGATCGTTAGTTACTGATTTTTCCTTTAGCCATCCACATATCATGCTCCAAGCAGGTTTAATGCAGTGCAAAAGAGTCAATATGTCTTCACGACACATGTACTCTAACCCTGGGTATGCCCCCCAGAATGAACCTAGCATTTTAGATTCCTTAAATACTTTTTCTTAAAGTGAATATCACATTTTTCAGATGAGAAACAATCCTGCATCTTCCAGTTGGCAAGTTTAAATGTCAATAATGTGACTGTGGAAGACAGTTATTTGACTGTTCTTTGAACAGGCATATTCTCCTGACAGCTCTTTCCCACCAGTGCTTACTTAGACAATGACTGTCTGACTCTTGTCCCTCAGACATTATTTAGTTTGTATTTATGATTCGTAGAAGCGACACATAAGGTTTAGGTTGTAAAATACTTCAGTGTATGCCTCTTGTTTGCAAACTGTGTAACTGTTGGGAGTGAACAAGCAGTATTAAGAAAGGTGGATTCTTTGGGGGACTTTCTCCCCTGAAACTGTTGTAAGCACTGAGCTGTCTAAATTTGCCCTCTCCTTTTCTCGGTGGTTGGTCTTTCTTTTAAGATGCACCTTTAGCAGTCTTTGTTCCCTCCCAGGCCCTGGGGGCAGGAGGTATAGACGGGAGAAAACAGGATTTTATAATTTCAATTTATAAAACATGTCTGAACCATCTATTGAAGCTGGTCCTTGGAGGAATTTCTACTTTTCCCCATGCTGTCTTCCCTTTGTATTGTTGTAAGTCCTTCATTGAATTATTACTGCTCGTAGGAAGAATAATAGAAAAAGGTATTTTTAAAATAAATGACAAGTCCCTGGTCCAGACTAGGACAAACTGTAGACAAATGATACCTGAAAATTATCTAACCTGTTTTAACTTGAACAGTCTCTTGGAATACTTAAATATTCTCTGTAAGTGACTTAAATTTAGAATATTAAATCTTCCTAAAGGTTGTGGGAATCAGAAAGTGGAGCTGTAGCAAAACAGCTTTACTATGATAAACATATAGTGTTTATCAGTGTTTCTCCTTACATCTGTCTGTCTGTATTTCACTGTAGCAGTATTGGTAGCATACAGGATATGTGGATGACTTCATATTTTGGGAATAATTTTTCTGCATTCAGAATAGTTAAGCCTGTATGAGCAGAAGTTTTTTTGCTCTTGTCAACAGCAACTGCATTTTCCATGTTCCTTAAAGTAGCTGTCCCATGTATAAGAAAATTGCTGTCCTGGTCTGTAAAGATGATGTTGTGTGGCCAAATATAGTAAACCTAATTTGGAGAACAAATGTTTTGTTCTCATGTTAATTTGGTATTTTAACATAGTATGGCGTTCTTTACCAAAGTTCAGGTTTACTCTCTTGTAAAGTGTGAATTTGGACAGATATGGGTTGACTGCAAGTAGGAAGGGGAATGCCATTAAGCAGTGGCTTAGAATAGCATGAGTTTTTGTAATTTTTCATTTTGCATTTAAATGCTGCATATTCTGAATCTGAAAAGTCACGCTTAAAAAGATTTCCTGCCTTCCTTTGTAACTATGTAAAACCATTGATCAACACTTCACAATTTAATTACTTTCCCACACAGAAGAATGTTAAAAATCTGAAACCAAAAGAATTTTCTCCTTTTCAAGAATGAATCAGTGTTTGGAAGTAAAGGCATAATTTCTGTAGTAGAGTTGCATCTCTAGTACTTGTATCAGTGTAGTAGTAATGGAGGGCATTTAGTCTTGAGACATCAAAACCAACTTCTTTGAAAATATACTGGTATATATTAATTCTTTATTACAGGTAGATTTATAATGCCAGTCTTTTTTTCTGTTCATTGATGGCTTTTAACAGAATTGCTTCCTTGTGAAAGAATGACATTTTCTTTTGTGTTCTGATGGCTGGGAACTTCTGTATTAGTATCATTAGCTTGTTAAACTTCCTTTGGTTAACTCACCTTTAGGCTTAAGAATATAAGAAATATCCTGATTGATTAGACCACGAGTCTAGTCTTGTCCCTGGCAGTGACAATTGCAGATGCTTTCAAGAAAGGCTGCAGCAGGGAAGTCAAGCCTTGTCACTGGCATTGATCCTGTTCCCCTTGTCACCCCACGGTGTCCAGAATCATCATGCAGGATGTTAGAAAGCACATCCCTGCTTAGTCTTTTTAATGTTAATGGATTCAAATTTGTCTAATCCTGTTTCTGAAGGTGATGGGGTTTGTGAAGTGTGAGACAGTGGTACATAAGTGATACCAAAAGCATAAGCAGATTGGGTTAATTGCTAGAAGATGCTTGAAGAATATATGCAGGTGCCTTTTTTTCCCCTTGCTATTCTTAGTTCTATGAACCTTCCAGAATTAAGTATCTCAGATACTCATTTTTCCCTCCACAACCTATGAGAAAGAAGAAAGGAGAAACAAGCCAGTAGGGAAGTCATAGTAGTGTTATAATCACTACTACTACTGTTGGGTTGTTAACTGATTCCATCTCAGGAGCTCATTGGTTACATTTTTGCTGGAAGAAGAGATAAAGTAGGAAACTCTTTTTATAGGAAAAGAAAGACTACTTGTTGGGGTTGGGATTTTCTCTAAACATTTCAAACGTGCATCTTCCTGCATTTAAACTCAGAATTTCGTTGCGAACCACTTCAGCTGGGTTTGAAGGATGGAAACATTAACCACACTACGTGCCTTGGGAATGGCTCAAAAGCTGTTCTTTGACACCAGTGCATTCCTCCCTACCCCTGAATTTAAATATATGTTGAACAGAATCTTGTAATGGAAGAGTGGCTAAGGATACACAGCTTGATGTGTGTCCAGATAAGTATCTTGCATTAAAATTGACCTTCCC